GGTTGCTCAGAGCTTCATGCAGCCTGACCTTGGACACTTCCAGGGATATCCAGAGATATTCAGTAATATAGACCTGATTTAATTAATACAAAATTGTAAAATTAACACACTGCCCATGCCATTACAGGCTTACAGGATGGTTGCAAAAGAACCTGGTTCTTCATTTCAACATGAGTCTGATTTCCTGTAAAGGGAAATCACATCTGACATTTAGGAACTGAAGTGCTTATAGCATTTATTACATTTCCCTGATACATTAATAAAATGCATAAACACAAAGAAAAGCAACCAAATCTACCTTTCACTTTTCATAAAAGCCATTTGATTTTCTCATAAACAGTACAAATGAATTTCTATGCCACTTTGACATCCCTCTCCATAAGTCAATATATCCTCAGGACAAATATGGTTCTGTTGATAATCATTTGGCTCTTGGCTTTATTTGTGTTCTGCAGTAGTTTGGATGGGCAAGTCTAAACCCTGGCTGGTTGTCTATGACCTTTGCATTCTCCTTTAAATTCCATGCATTTGCAAGAGATGATGGAAGAGCTGATAGTGTCGACTGTTTATCAGCCACGATAACTAGATTAGATACATTTCTGATTGTAAAAATAGTCTTGTAATGGATTTTTATTTTTTTTTATAGCTACTATTTCCAACACCTTCAGCAGTGCTCTGAAGATTTTTAAAAGTCTGTGTCCAGGAAGCACTTTGTCTCCTTCAGCTGACAAACTTTTTTGGGGGGAGAGGAAATTCAGTTTCTCTTCTCTCTGCACTGTCAGTCCCCAGAGCATGAAGTCTCCTCTCCTCCTCCTTGCTGTCAGCCCTGGAGAGGGCTCAGCTGTCCCCTCCAGCCCCCACACCCCACCCTGAGCCCTCCTACAGCTACAGCCAGGCTGATGCTGTCACGTCACAGTCTGGGCTCTGCTCAAAGCTCAGCTTCAGCTGCTCTTGCTTCAAGGTGCCATTGCTGGAGATAAAACAAAATAGGGGAAGTGATGGCATTTTGCTGGAAATTCGAGCACTCGACACTCAAGCAGAGCCATGTTTAGGTTGCCCATATAACTTTCTGCTGTGATGAGCACATTACTTACTTGATGACAATGGTGTATTCTTGGAAGAACCTTTTATTTTCTGCTCTCAGCTCTTTCCAGTTGCCTGCATGCTACGAGGTGGAGCAGCAGTTCTTACAGAGCTGGCTAATGCTGCGTGCTGTTCTGCACTTTCAGTGGCTGAATCAAATTGAGAGACAGCTAAAAATGCATCATATTTTTATATCAGCTCTGTTTGCCTGGGTAAACATTTGCTGCAGTTACCTGAGGACTGTCATGTAACTCTAAAATGAGTGATCTGGACAGTCACTCCTGCCCCCAGTGCAGTGAAAGTTGTGCTCTACACCCTGAATAAGTTTGGTACTCTGTTAAAGAAACCCCTGATGTGTTTGGTTATGCTGAAATAGCCCCCTGGGAGCAGCACAGATCAGGAGAAGGTGAAACCACCAGTGCCTCCTTCACAGTCAGATTTCCACCCTGAAGGATCAGCTGCTTCCACACAACAAAAGCAAAAGCACACCTCCAAAGAAAGGTTCCCAAAACCAAAGTCATGTTTTGCAGCTGGCTTTTACATCCCTAATCCTCCATCCCAGGGAACTTTTTGCCAGTAAAAAGGAGTTAGGATGATTTCTTTATCCTTCTTACCAACATTGTCATGCCAGCTCAGGCTCTCCTTCTCCTGGAGTCTGGGAGACACCGTGCCTGGGATCCCCCACCTTCCCCACACCACTGACAAGGAGCAGAGGCTTCCTCCCCTGCCCCAGCACAAGCCCTCGTGCACCCCTCCCTTTTGAGAAGAGAAACACCAGAGAAAGTTCTTCTCCCACAGGCACCTCCAGCATCAGTGTGGGGCCTCTGGGCAGACCCCAGGCTGCAACTCTACTTCCAAGACTTGTGTTTGTATCCTTCACTGAAACCTAACTCACCCATGTCAGTCCCACCAGCTGCTTCCAATCTTCTGAACAGGATTGCTCTGTGCCATAAACTTCAGCTTTCCAAACACAAGCATCATCTGTTAAGCCAAAAGCTTTAGACAGGATTCCTGAACACTAGGCTGAGAGTCCAAGCAGCACAGGGCATATCTTCCCTGTGTCAGCAGACACCTCATGTATTTTTAGTGCTGTCAGAAACAAACCACTCCTTGATATTCCAGAGGGGGGAAAAAAGTCTTCTAGAAGTGGTGGTGAAGCTAATATTTTAAAAGACCCTTCCGAGAACTTGCCATCCTCCTGGGGGAGCTTGTCAACATCTCCCACGTTAAATGAAAGCCACTTTAAAATCCACAGGGGTTTTAAAGAAAAGCTGGAACATATCAAAGCTGCTGGGATGGCAAGCTTCATAACGTGCACAATACATCAACACTTAGAGGCAGTAAATCCTCCCCAGCCTCAGGGGAGCTCACAGCCCCCCAGAGTAAGCCTTTCCTAATGTATCTCTCAAATGAACTGCTAATCTCCTCTATAAACTTGACAGCTGTCCTGCATGCACTCAAACCCCTCTGTGCTTAAATCCTTCTATCGTTCTTGTTAAGTCACTCGTTAGATCATTTTTGCTTTAATACATAGAAAGAAATCTTTCCTCCAACCCCAAACAAAGGCCTCACTCACCTGCAGTTGGCACGTCCACAGATTTCATACATTTGTGTGTGTGTGTGAGTGCATTCCCAGGAGTAATCTTGGACTTTACAAATTCCTGTGGCCAGTGGGAGCTCCCACACCAGTTCCCCCCAAGCAGATTTCTCAGACCCCAGCAGATCTGATGGCTTCCTGTGTTCAGACCAGCTCGAATTTCTGACACAGTTTCTCGTTGCTCTGAGGGAGCAGAAAACTTTCCCCTTGGCTGGGCAGAGCTTGGCCCGTGGTGTTGAATTCCCAGTGCCAACAGCTATTTGTCACTTCTGCTCCAGATGAGAGTTTGCCAGGGTTGCTGTGCAGCCTTGCCACAAGAACTCACATGAGACACCACCAAGACAGCTGTGGTCTTACACTGCCCAAGTCCTGACAAGGATTGCCTAAAGGGTATTTTGGCAGTCAGAAATAATCCCGACTCCCAGCTGTGGACAGAGCAGTAGTTTTTCATGCAGTTCTCAGTGTTTCATAAGAACATTTCAAAGCACACCAAAACACTGATCCTTCCTAGAAGCACCTACTTGTCCATTAGTTCTCCTTGACCACATATTTTGTTTACTGCTTGAAACTGGTGCAGGGTTTCACCAAGACATTGATTCATTCAGTGTCAGTGAGATTCCCTGCTCTTGCACCAGCACTGTGACTGGGTGATCCCAGTCAGCTGGCATGGGGTTGGTGCAAGTCTGACAATGCCTGACAGCTCTGCAGGGACCTGAGTGGAGCTGTTCAGTATTTGCTCAACACCTGGAACATGCAGGTCTGTGGGCAAAAGTCTGGAAGAACTTTTTCTGGAAGAAAAGGAAAGCAATGAAATAACTCCTGCAACATACCTCAAACATTTGGATTGCCAAGGCATGTGAGCCCTGCTGAGCTGTTGGTCAAATAGAGGATGCTGTTACTGCAGTGCTGGTGACAGGTGTCTATCCTTCACAATATTTTCCCAGTGAGGATACTTTTTATGCTGCTCCAGGGTCTCCATCACTCCCTGAATTGGCAGTGAGGGGAACAGAGCCATTTTCCTCTCTGCCTGTAGCTACGTGCACTGCTACAGCAGTGATATGAAATTATTCACTCTGCCTCTTAAAATGTCTACAGAAGATGAGCTACAACAATTGCTCCAGGAAGTGATGCTCAGCCACTCTGACTGATCACCCTGTGCCCTGTCACCCATCTGTTACCTCTGCCATTCCCTGCTGGCTCCAGTGCCAGTCAGGCCCTGAAACACTCTGCTGAAGAGGGCAAAGGTCTGTCCCATAACTGCACCTCAGAGAGGAGCTCTGGGCTGAGCCTGACACCCCGTAACTGTGAAATATCCCTGTGGTCACCCAGAGCAGAACCGTGTCCCACACAAGCACGGAACAGGACTTCCTTTGCCGATGTTTTCAGTACTGGAATGAGTCTCACTTTCCAGCCGGAGAATTCATGCTCTGAAACACTGCTTCCAGCCAGCTCTACTCCCTGCAGCCGTGCTTGCTGCTCCCCGGCCCGTGAAACACCCACTTCCCAGGCACTTCATGCGGATCCAGCCTCGCTGTGCCGGGAGGCGGCCCCTGGGGAGGTGTTCCTGATACCTGAGCTCATGGAACCTGCCCATCTCAGATGCAAACAAAACACATTGGAAAGCTGCTCTACCTGCCAGAGGAGCATCTGTTAGACTGACAAATCAGGGCCGTGCACAGGGGAGACACATTTACTTCTGACAGAACTCCACCCACCCTGCTCAGCCCAGCAGCTCTCACCAAGGGCTGGAAATCAATGGGATCTCTGCATTATCAACTCCTCTTGCCCAAATGGGAAGGCACCTTCTGCCCTCCGTGAGCTTACAAGGCTCGTTGGAGCCTCTTCCCGCTCGTACCGCACTAAACTTGTTGTGTCCCCGCATCGCTCTGCTGCGGGGGGACACTCCTCCCTGCCAGTGCCGGGATGCTCGGGGCGGCACCGCTCCTCCCCGCCGGGCCTCTGCCTTGTCGGGTCCGGCTCACACGGGCTGCTCCCGGATCATCCTGCGGCTCCGCTGCCGCTCCCCATTCCGGTCCCGGTCCGGATTCTGATCCCGGTCCCAATTCTAATTCTGATTCTGATCCCGATCCCGATCCCGGTCCATATCCTGGTCTCGGTCCCGGTCCCGGTCCCGCCGCACCTGCGGGACCGGAGCGCGCCCCGACCGCGGCCGAGCCACGCCCCCGCCGCCGCTCAGCCAATGAGCGCGAGGGGCTTTAGCCGACAGCCAATGGGAGCGCGGCGGCCGCGCCCCCGCCCCCTACTTGAGGCGCTCCGCGCGGCCCCGCGCTCGCAGAGGCGGCGGGAGCGGGAGCGGCCCCGGAGCGGACGGTGCGCCCGGCGCTGCCCCGCACCGCGCTCGAGGGAGGGGCCGCTCCCATGGAGGCATTCCCGGGCACCAAGCTGGAGCAGCACCGGCACCTCCCGCCCGTGGAGTGCCTGCCGGGCGCCCGCTACGCCGGCCGGAGCCACAGCGCCTGCGGGAACGTCTTCAACTCCTGGAACGACTACCTGGGGCTGGCCACGCTCATCACCAAGGCCGTCCGGCCCGGCAAGAGCTTCGGCGCCGAGCCCCCCTCGGTGGTGGTGGCGGCCGCCGTGCCGCCGGCCGAGGAGGAGGAGGAAGAGGAGGAGGAGGAGGAAGAGGCGGCGGGGCCGTACTTCGAAGGCGCGCTGGACTTGCACGACCTGGACCTGTGCGGGCATCACCATCACCACCACCACGGCGAGGGGCTGCTGGAGGAGCGCTTCGCCGACTTCAGCCCCTTTCCCGGGCGCGGCGGCCCCGCCGCCGTGGTGTTCGACTGCTCGGGAGAGCACCCGGGCCGGGAGGGCTCTGCCCACGCCTGGGGCGGTGTGGTGGTGGCGGGGCGGCTGCCGGCGCACCCGCGGGCCGCTTCCCGCCTGCTCAAGCCCGAGCTGCAGGTCTGCGTCTTCTGCCGGAACAACAAGGAGGCGGTGGCCCTCTACACCACGCACATCCTCAAGGGACCCGACGGCCGCGTCCTGTGCCCGGTGCTACGGCGCTACACCTGCCCCCTCTGCGGCGCCAGCGGCGACAATGCCCACACCATCAAGTACTGTCCCCTCTCCAAAGTGCCGGCGGCCCGGCAGCTCCGGCACGCCCGGACCGCCCTGGGCAGGAAGGGCCGCTAGCGGCCGGGACCCCCGGGCCTCGCCCCGTGCCCCCCACGCTGACACTGCCCCGGCCCCGCTGGAACGCGCGGAGCCCGCGCCGGGCCCGGGGACTGCGAGGCGGAGATGCGCTGTGTTTGTTTATTGTAAGAAAAAATATATCTATATGTGATTTTTACGGAGACGCCGAGATCTGACTGGGTGGATGTGCGCCCGGGGGGGGGTCCCAGGGTTAGAGCCACGGCCGGGGAGGTGGCGGGGGTCCCCGGTGGCCGCCGCTTCTGCCGCCCGGCTCTGCGCGTCCCGAGCGCTCCGTGCCGGCGGGGCATCGCCCGGGAGAGCTGCTCTTCGCTGCCAGTTGATAGCACGGCATTTAATTAGGGTACCACACTCCGCCTTTCGGCTCTTGAAGCAAACATCCGAGCGATTTCCTTTGCCGGTTTCAAAACCGGTGAGCAAATCGCGATGGAACCTGTCCCCTCGGTAATTAACAGCTGCTGCCCGAAATCGCAGCATCCGTGCGGTCACCGTTCCTCTCGTGGGCACCGATGGCTCGGGGGTCCCCGTGTCGAATACTCAGCTTTAGGGAAAGTCTGAGAGGAGAAAACATCCGAGTGCGTGTTTGAAAACGTGATGACTCTGTGCCAGAGTACAAACGGAGCTCTCTCTGCTGACAGGAAGGCGGTAAGAATGGCAATCGAGAAAGCTTTGTGGCATCTGTGTTTGTGGTGGAGAACGGGGGAAGCCTGATGGAAAGAGACCTGGACAAAGCAGAAGACTGTGACCGTACGAGATTGGAAGAGAGGGAGGTTGTTTATTTTCAAGAGTTCAGAGAATGTGGCTTTAACTCTTTGCAAGTGAAACAGATCTACCCATGTGGATAACAAATATCCTTAACACTACAGGGACTGTAAAAAGCACAAGAGTTAGGCTGAAGTCCTGGACCGCTCTGGGTGGCGGCAGTTCCTTGGTACTGAGTATCAGCCAGGGCTATATCACTTCTAATCCCCAAGAGAAAAGAAATTACTTTTGTTTGTTTTGGGGCATTTTTTTGTGGTTTTGGGTTTTTTTTTAGCCAGAAGTAGGACAAGAAGCAGCAGCAGTTTGGAGTTTAAGAGTACTCTGGAGCAGAAAGATGGGTGCTGGAGTTTTCAGTGCAGAGGGTCACACTGCTGTGTGGCTTCACCAACACCTGGGGTGTGGAGGGATGCTCAGTCCACAGGGGCTGCCCTGACAAGAGCAGGGAGGTGAAGAGAGGCTTGTGGAGGAACTGCTGGGACATCACCAGGAGGATGAGAAGGGAGATGGTTCCTGACAGAAAAGGGGAACTAGGAAAGCGAGGAGTAATCCACACTTGTGTGGTTTCCTTTTGAAAAGCTGCTCAGAAGGGGTCAGGAGAGCAGGACAGTCAAGAATGGAGTCAAAACGTGTGGGATGGGCTGAGGACCCAGGGTTCATTATTCATCATTGCTGTTGACTCCCAGCCACAGCAATTAGGAGGGAGAAAGTGGTTTTGTGTGGAAGTGTTCCCTTAAATCTCCATCAGATGGCTCCAAAGATGGTGTCAGATCTAATTACCAAATGCAGTGGGGTTTGCATTAAACAATACTCAGTGGCTGCAGCTGTCCTTGTGCCAGCCTTGTGCTCAATACATTACATTTTGTCTCTTGCCCTTTGGGGAGTGCACCCCAGGCTCTTTTAAGCTGTTAAAGTTAGATGTGTTTGGTTTTGTGATTCCTGGTCCACATAGGTTTAATCTGTGTCCACCACACATTAGAACTGAGCTCAAGTGTGATGCTGTGGGAAGAGTTTTCTTCTGTACTTTTGTTACCTACTTGTGGGAAGTTTGAAGATCCTTATATACATTTTAATGCAGTTGACTGTTACTGGACACAAAAGCAAGAAAGATCAAAGAAAATCTGTCTCGGGTGTTTTCTGAGGGTTAACTGGCCGGGCTGGATTGGAGGTGTTTGCCATGTCCCTGCCCCACCTCTCTGGTCTTTACATTAAGCTGCTGAGCAGTACCAGCCCTATAGCAACACCTGGAAATCCCTCAGGATAACGGCAGATCCTGTGTCTTGGATGGCACTGGCCTTCTGCAGAGCCTGTGCAAGAGGAAAACGTGTATCCACAGCCTGTGCTGCTGCCTGCTGCTGCTGGTTCTGCTCCCCAAGTACCTGCAGCCTTGCTCTGGAAAGGCCAAGAGCTGCCTGTCCTCTCTGCTACTCAGCTTTAGGCATCTCATCAAAGGCTTAACAGGTAAAGTGGAAGAGTAACAGCTTCAAGACTAGTTGGGGGTGGGGAGGTAAGAAAGAACAAGCAACAAACCTCAGACTATTGCAGAAAGATGACAGGATTCAGCAGAAGACAGCCTGACAGCAAGGCTCTTCAGTTACTTTATGTAATCATTCAACAGGACAATTTACCCTTTAAAGACTCACAAGTGAGTCTAACAAAGACTAAACCTTAAAGGATTTTTTGATTGTTTTTTTTTTTAGTAAGCTCCTGTGATTTCTGGCGCACCAGCACACTCCTCGTGGCACTGAGCGAGCAGAAACATTCTTGTTCTTGGTCACTCTGAAAAGGTTATTACAATAGACAGTGTTTGTGTTGCTACTTTGACTCCTTAAATACAGGCAACCGTTCGCATTAGTAATTTAAATTCTAGGAACAGCAAAGTGCTTAATCTGAAAGCAGCCCAGGTTAGAGCTGTATTATGCTCCACAGAAGAGGTCTATGAAAAATGAGATACTATTTTCACTCTTCTAGAGACATCTGCAAATCAAAATATTATGGTCACCTGTTCAAACCTGTGTATGTAAGTCATGGAATCTTTTCTATAGTGATAGTGTGGCAAAAGGAGTGAACACAACAGTGGATAATCATCCTCAGCTGGTGCTAGTCTTGGCAAAAAACAGGCTACTTCTAATTAGAAACTACTTTCAGATATACAGGTAACTTGATTCAGCTGAAGTCAGGTAAGTCTGTGCCCATCTTTAGTGGAAATTCTATTTGGGCAGGTTGCTGTCAGTCTGCTGACCAGTGCCTCAGGTAGATGCCATAGGGCCAAACCACAGTGGCTAGAAAATGTTTTTTCTTTTTTTACACTGCCAGTTTGACCCACCAGATATATAGATTAATTTTTACTGGAGATGAGTTGCTAAGAGTTGCATGGGGAAGAAGGTATAATTCTAAAATGCCTGTTGTCTGGACAAAACAAGTGATACACTAAAAATGGAAGGAGGTTTAGCAAAGCCTCCTGCCCAAGAAAGGGCTAACAGAGCTTAAAGTGCAGCAAGGGAGGTTTTGATTAGCAAAATGCAGTGGAATAGTTTTTTACAATTTCCATCCTACTGTAATTAAATGCATTAATTATGTTAAAGAGGAGGACCAGACAAAGTGTAGAGCATTTTAGCTCCAGCTGGTACTGCCATGGCAAAAAAGGAAGAATTGGGTGTTTTTGTTACACTGCTTGAGTACCTACTTCTTACAGTGCTGCAGTAAAACCACAGGATGGGCACTAGTGCCTGAATTACAGGTAAATTTTGGATCTTGCATTTCACTGACCTAATGCCTTCCCTTTGTAGGCTGACACCATTCAGCAGTACCCTTTAGGCACAGGAAGAAAACTTGCTTACACACAGCAGTTCCTGCCAATGACAGCAGCCCAAGGACAGTAAAACAACAAAGATATGTTTCATTTACAGCAAGACAAGCTTTCCAGTACTCTCACTGTCTGAGGTGCCTCCTGGCTGCCCACCAGCCCACCCCAACATCCTCGTGGCCTCTCTGAGGTCACCAAAGTCACCACATGCCCTGGGCTCCAGTTGTGGCTGTGCCCAGTCAGGACTGCCACCACTGCACCCAGCCAGTTCTCATAAATATGGATTTTGTAAAAAATTATTAGTTATTATAGGTAAAGCACTCTAGAGAAAGCTTAAATATAATGTCAATTATGCCCTCCTGCTGAGGACCCTGATGACCCTCATCCTGCCTGTGGGTTGGGTCAGTGTCTGGACTGCTCCTGGAGCAGGAAAGAAACAGCACTTTTCATAGCTGACACTGCCTTGCTGGAGATTCGGTTTAATCCAGCAACATTTGCATCCATTCAAACAGCAGCAGCAGCCTTAAGTTCTCCCTTCTAAATACAGCCTGTGACAGTTTGGATTCTTCTAAGGTACGCTGAAAATTTTAGCTGTTTAATGGAACATGACTCAAGGCAAAGATTGACAAAGAACTCATTTGGCTTCATCAATATTTTCAGGAAACCAAATTTTGTGCTCATGTTTAGTGATGGCAGGAGATGGAGGTTTGAGCTGTTGGATTTGGTCAGCAGAGGTTTTTGATCACTGTCAGTATAGTGTCTAAACAGATGAAGCAATAAAACAAACACACTGACATGTCTGCAAAGCTCTCATCTCCCCAGCCTCTTCTCAAGCTGCCCAGCCCTGAGAATGGTACACTACAACATTATCACAATTTCAAATAATGTGAATTAAATGCACACACCAGGAAAGAGCTTTAGCTGGTGCAGGGATGACTAACACTCATCCCTGTGTGAAAGTGTCTTTGTGTGGATACAATTAAAACTATGTAACTGAAGGGATTATCAATATTTACATATTAAAAGGCTGGAGAAAGGCAAATTTTGTGCCTGTTGTTGATAGAAGGCTGAAAGGACCATCTGAGAAGGCACAGGCCAGATGGCATCACTTCAGTCCCTGGGAAAATCAGAGGAAGTCCCTTCAGAAGATCTTTTTGGGGACATGCAGAAGACAACTGGGAACAGCAAGAATGGAATTACTGAGGGTAAACCATGTCTGGCTCACCTGCCTTCTATAATAAAGTATCTTTGTGGATGAGGGAAGGAGCACTGGATGTTCTTCATCTCAACTTTAACAAGGCTTTCAGCACTGTCTCACACAATATTCTTGCACCCAGCTCAGGATGTTACAGCCCACATAGGGGGCAGAAAAACTGTCTGGATGTCCAGGCTCAGCACTGTGGGCTGGAACCATCCTCTAGGCC